TGAAGGCGATCGCCATTGCTATCATTTCAGGGATTGGTAAAGTGTTAACGAATATTTGAATTTAAACTCATTAATTATCTTTAATATTTACTAAAAAATCAACTAGGAATTAAGAATAATTATAATATTGTAATGGGAGCAGAGCGCAGCAAGTGCAAAAAAAATTGGCTGAATTTTATACGTTTTATATCAAGATTTTCTTATAATCTTGCACCTAAACAAAGTATTGGACGTGTGGTAATCAAAGTGCTGAACTAAATTCATTAATATGAAGAATAGTAACAAGTGCAAGTAATACACAGAGCTAGAAACCTTGCCCACTCGCACTAATAAAACCGAGATTACTTGAGAATTTCATAAAGCATTAAGAAGCCCACAGCTTACAATACTCTTAAATGTTGCCCACGTGATTAATGCATCCCGGCATGCAAGTGAATTTATCGTACATGAAAAACTTGAGTTCGTCAATCGGCAGGTCGCGCACTGAACGCTATGGAAATAAATCAACTGCGGACATCCGCTGATTTCAGAGCGCGTGTTAGACAAATGGCGAGTGTCCGCGCTATGTCACGGAGCTATTCAATGTACCTAAAATATTTACACTGTGCCAGGTATACTCCTTGTAGACTTTGTGCAGCGATGTTTGTTCAATAGTGGCATCGTAAATCATAGATAATCGCCGACCCAGGTACAGGAAAATTTATCAGAAGCAAATGAATACGAAAGCGAGGAGTTCCAATTAAATGGCCAAGGTTTCTTTGCGTTTTTAATGACTTTGCCCCGGAATTAGAAACATAAATTACTTCGATTACTATACCCTTAACGATGGTTCATACGTTCACCGTGTAAGTTACACATGGAAAACCTACAGCAACATATTGATCACTTCTGGTGATCGTCTTGCTGCATGCAAAAGCCGAAGAATTAATAATTTGTAATTTTCTAAATCGGGTTTTCAATTTTTTTAGGAGGAGGAAAAAATTTTCTTATAGTTTATACTAAGTGAACACGATCGAAGAAATTATGCGGGCAACGTCTAGCAGAAACTTTAGGATATCAGAGAATGCAGTTAATCAGAGAATGCAATTTGTTGCTTATTATTGTAGGATTTCTTTATTCTGTTTTTCGCGGGCATACTTGATTATAATCCAATAACCTATATTTATTGATCTGTACAGTGAATTAATCATAAAATCTGTATGATGAATGTGATTGGCATAACCAACTAACCTTGTTCATAAATTATGTTCAGACCCATCGAGCAGAAAAATAAGGTATGAGGTCGTAATCAAACATTTCTTTCTAATTTACGTGCAATATCATATTAAAGCTTGATTTGAATCATCAAATTATTCCGAATAAGTAAATAATGCCGGATGAGCGTCATCGTTTATTAAAGTTCGTGTATTAGTTATCTCTACACAAGTTATAATATTAAAATACTATATTATGTATAGAACATATTAACTATAGAACTACATTAATAGTTATCAGAGTATACATGACTGTAACCATATGCTCAACTTTGCGTTGAGTTTATTTTCACTCCTCTTAATTACCCAGACCTTATTGGCCGTTGATTTCCAGCGTATTTAAAACTTGGTTTACTCGCACCTCAATTCCGCAATGAAAAATTACTCCAGGTAGTGGCTAAACTATTCCGCATAGTGGATGTTAAATTCTTAATCGATTCAAAATTGTTACCCATAGTTTAAAACGATGTTCACATATACCTGAATGAAAGATTACTCAGATTAGAGGATTATTTTTACGAAAATATGAAGTAGCACGTACATATATGGCACCGAGCCTATACTATATCTATGGACCTGGAAATATGAGATTATATGAGGTAATTCTTTGCTAACAAAGTTATTGCGACTTGATTTAAAATAGAATGGATATAGATCGCCTAAGTTTCAATAAGTTTTGTTGGTAAAACGTAGCGCTTTACGGAACTTGCATGGAGAAGCTGATGCAAATGGAAAGAGAACAGCCGTACCGGAAAATGTATCGTTAGCTTGAAGATTTTATATACAACGAACATGGCCAAAAAGACTAACCAACCGTTAGTTTGGTTTCGTTCCCTGCCTACTTCCTGGAAACTATATTAACTGCTTGATCATCACTGAATTATATAATAGGCGAATGAATGCATTTTACTCGCTAATTTTCTTTAAGGAATTAACAGTAATTTAATGCTGGTTCGTACCAATTGCGTGTCCTTTCCCTTCAGGAAGCTTCCCTAAAATTGACTGGGGTGATGTCGTTGATGCCGCACAATGCATATACGGAGTCGCACAATGCATATGGAGTAACAATTTGCAGGTATATTGAAGTCAGTCTACAGAAAATTTTTTTATGATAAGTTAACTTTGGTAGTTTTCATAATAAATCATGAGCAAGGGTAGCGGTACTCCCGAAATTTGCGTGACAGAAAGCTATTGCTTTCGATTCAAACTCAGCTTGCGACTTGGCGCTGCCAGCGATGACAATGATCTGGTGCAGAAATGCTAATAAATGACCCAATAGAGCATGACCACAGACCGCTTGTTAGCTTTAGCTGCCTTCATACTGGTCATTTGACACATAAACTAGTTGCAGCCAGCCGCTAATTTCGTTCACGAACTAAACTAAGGCGCTTATTTCGTTGCAAAGCCTCGGTGGTGCCTAGACACTTCATCTGAATGCTCTTGGATCGTGGCTGGAAGCGAGTCGTTCATGCAGACCAACTCGTCATGCACAAACTCGGGTATTAGCAGCCCGAATAAGTAAGCGTCGAGTCGTAAGTAATGACCACATGTGTCACAATCGGACAAGCCACACGTTAAATATATTACCGCCACAAGTGGTACCTCTGTGTGGCGTGAGCGATATGCAGAGATCATACATGAAATTAACCGCGTCGTTTATGAAGAGCCACTCATCATATCAAACTCTGCAATTAGTGGCAGAAATAGACTAGTATCGGGTACTAAATAAGTATTAGTATAAGTAGCATAAGTACCGTTAGTATGGGATTACTTGAAACTTAGTGGCTACCCCATTACATTGTTCCAAAAAGCTTCAGTTCGTTCTTAGGGAGGCCCATCAATCTTTGATTTAAAAGCATGACAAATGAAAATTAAATAATTATTTAATAATATGTGAACAAACTTGTGTTCCGATTGCTAAGATTACTTTTGATCTCGCTCGAAAAAAGCGTCTCGGCATCGCCAACACAGAGAATGCGTTAGGAAATTCATTTCTCGTTTTCCTCGATGGCTTCTTATTTGTTCCAGAGTGCAAAGCTGGTGCTAAACTTGGCATCAGGCTGGTCATTGTAAATTTCCAAGTTTACTATGTTTGCCCTGAACACTAAGCTAAGGTTAAATAGAAATCTCGCTTCAAATTGGAATTGAACCGCGTTTTCGCACCAATAAAAACGCGCAAGTTTATTTAAGGGTTTATACGTATAAGTTTATTAAAGATATCGACCCAACATTGGTCGATAGCTGAACCCCAAATAACTTCAGTTCAAAATAAGATATCTATTGACTTTGTTCAGATATTTATGTTGTCTCGCTTTGTTCGCTCACCTAAAAAAATCGTTGTACTAAATGCAATTATTTTTATAATGTTGCACAGAGAACAAGAAGGAGTAAAGATGATACCATTAAATGTAAAGCTCAATTCTAACCAGAACTGGTTTGCCATGAATTTTTAAGAGTCCAGTAGACTAAATACATTGAAATAGATAGATAGATTCAATTTAAAATAGATTACTATTTTACATCAAGTCTATCTATCTATTTCAATGCATTTACTCAACTGGGCACGTAAAAAACTCACGGCAAACCAGTTCTGGTTAGAATTAAGCTTTAAAAACTTCAAGTTAATTTAAAAAGCGCTGACACAACAGGCAATACGAAAAATAAATAACTATATTATTTTCCGAAACTGTGCCGCCTGTAGAATACAATAAAATATTGAAGAAAATTCATAAGTAGTAGTAGAAGTAGTAGTAGGAGTAGTAGTAGTATAATGATTTGCTAGCGCTTCAGCAATCAAGCAATTTTGCACCTCAAATTAATTGATTAATTAATTAATCAAGCTATTTAAAATCTCAAATTAATCATCACTCACAAGCGGCGGAAGGTCTGAATTGTCCAGCCCGCTAAAGCTGGCTGGAAAGAAGCAGCGTTAGCATCTCAAAGCGACGAAGTGACAAGGAGAGACAGGTGACAAGCAAGAGAAACGAAGACACTCGAACAAGAGGTCGCTTACACGGGACGTCGGCCGCCCGCACGAGAGAGACAGAGAAGGGAAATGTAAGGAATCCTACCTACATAATAACTTCTGTCTCTTATACACATCTAGATGTGTATAAGAGACAGGGATAGTTTCAAAGGTGAAAAGATGACGGAAGGATAGTTTCACTGTTTTAAAAATGAAGGATGGATAGTTTCACTGCTACAAAGCTGACGGAAGGATAGTTTCCCTACTACAAAGCTGACAGAGGGATAGTTTCACTACTACAGAGCTGACGGAAGGATAGTTTCACTACTACAGAGCTGACGGAAGGATAGTTTCACTACTACAAAACTGACGGAAGGATAGTTTCCCTACTACAAAGCTGACGGAAAGATAGTTTCACTACTAAAAGCTGACGGAAGGATAGTTTCACTACTACAATGCTGTTGGAGGGATAGTTTCACAGCTACAAAGCTGACAGAAAGATAGTTTCACTACTAAAAAGCTGACGGAAGGATAGTTTCACTACTACAAAGCTGACGGAAGGATAGTTTCACTACTACAAAGCTGACGGAAGGATAGTTTCACTACTACAAAAACCTGCAGTCAGACACCGCAAACTCAGTGGTGGGGCGCTCAGGAACAATCCCCTTAGGAGCGCGAAATCCCATAGGACTTCTGACGAGCACAGACACACGTCAGAAGTCCTCATTGAGAGAAAATTCCTAAAAATTACATGATATAATAGAAGGTAATTCAGTACTAACCGGCAGCTGGAGGTGCTTGGTTGGCCATCAGGGGGTAATGGAGGCTGGGGCGATGGTTGAAGCCCGGCAGTGGCCCGCCTCCGAACAGGAAAGGGGAACCCAACCAGGTTGGCTTCATCGGCCCATAGCAGGGCCCTGCGGAGCCGAAGAGGACTTTCAATTATTACCTCATAACTCAACTACTGATATTGTTTAAAAATGGCATTAATTGTTTACAAGAAAAATCTCAATTGAGCAATTGAAATATAAAGGCAGACAATTAAAAAAATCTGAAATCAAGTTCTTCTGCTCGTATATCTAGCCAATGATTACACTTTTTTCTCCGATTGAAAATTTCCGGGAACTCGTCAACAAACATTAAAGGACACATTGGCACCTTAAATAAAAACTTTATAATGTAATTTCAATCTCATTAGATATTTTTCTCTGTTGAGCAGAATAAAGAGACGTAACCTATAAACAAAAAGCAGTTTAGATGAATTAATTCTGAGCCCCCAGCGAGCAAGATAGCCGAACACACACGTAATTTGAGGAACGTGTGAGCAAAGCCGCACTCATAAATAGCTTTTTTAGCCGACAGCGCCTCATAAAGTTATAGATTGGTGTGCATGCGAGGAGCGCTAACCTCACTAGTATTTACGAGCGCAGTAAATGCGCCCAGACCTTTATTTATTCTAATGTTCAATAGAAACAACTATGTTAGCGTGCACAAGGCACGCCAAAGTAAGCTTAGCATCGGTCAGCTGCCAGCTCCTCAATAGAATTTATTGGCGTAAATTACAGAGCGGTTACAATTAGTGCCTTCGCTTTATCGTGCGTGACTGGTTCGTGAGCAGGGCTTGCATTCGTTACCAAACGTACAGTTAGTAGAGCGCTGTTCGTGCACGGTAATGAAGCCGTAAATCACGCCTCGACTAGCACCTGCTATAAAGATAACAAATTTCATATTCAATTGACGAAGCCAAAAATAAACGAGTCTGCATATATAGTGAATCATCGGCTCTTAACTTGGAAAAATGAGTACAATGTTGAAACTTTTTAAATTTATAAAGCTTAAGGTCGGACAGACAGTGTATAAAAAACATGATCGATGTGTAATGTCCATGCAAACAAAATGGATTGAAGGTTCGATCTTCTATGGATTATGAATGAAACATGAAAATACTTTTACCAAGATTAATAATCATGTAAGAAGTGATAATGCGTAGAATTGAAATTTCAATTTATATATACTTAGAATTTGTTCAACTGTCAAACGTTTTTAAAATTTATAAACTCTCAACTGCATAATAACTCACTTGAAAATTAATTCAGTTTTCCTGTGTGTAGAACAAAGTTATGCTCGCATTTAATCAGTATTCAGAACAAAGAAACAGTGCTGCGTTTTAATACTTTTTCCTGCAAGCAATATTTATTATTTTCGACCTAAGCAGTGCGCTTCTACAACGGAAACCTGCACCCAAGATTTCTGTCCCCAACCACCAAAACATCGTCGACCGTGACAGGACTCGAACCTGCAATCTTCGGATCCGAAGTCCGACGCCTTATCCATTAGGCCACACGGTCTATATACATGATTCATCATTTCTGCTATAAAACACATTTTTGTATAATATAAAAGTTTGCATTTAGCCTTCATTGAATATATGAAAAAATAACAACATAACTCGTGCGCTGTAACAAAGGGAACGTTTAAATTTGAAACACTTCAATATCATCTTCACAGTAGCCGAAACTTTTTTGTCGATACGATTATTCGAAAAACATATTGTTACCGCATTTTTTACATTTTAAAATTCATGTTATTTGGATCAACGTGATAACATTACCAGGCATAGAGACAAGTTTGCGTTAGCAAGATAATAAAGAACATGCGAGCTTTGAACACGATTAAATATGAATTCATTATTCATGCAACGCATATTCGCATACATGGGGAGAAAAGCCAAGAGTTTCTGGAGTGTTTACACGCGTCTTGCATTAGGTTTCCAGGAGTCTTTCACTCGACATGAGAACAAGATTAATCCATTAATCTACGGTAAAAGTCCGAAACATTATAGAGCCCTTTTGCAAATACGTCCACTAGCAACTATTAAATGATGTCGTAGACAAGTTAAACTTGTATAATTGGATGAAAATGCTAACATCACTACTGCTAATTTAAACAGGAACGACAACCACAAAACTTAATTAGATTTTCTTAGCCGATGAAACTTTTGTAGCAGAATAAATGCATTACATTGTTTTGACAAGTTTTTAGATAAGAGCTATTAACGATTTATTTTTTTAACTCATTGAAAGATCTAATCTGCAACTAAAGGTGTCATAAAAACAACTTCATTTTTAACATTCCTGACAGTATCCACTTACGTTACAATTGTATTCCAATTCCAATTATAAAGATACGCAATATTCACCACAAGCAATTACTACATAAAAACAGGAGGCAAATCAAACAGGAATGGCCAATAATTACATATGCTTTAATTAATGTTCGATTAACTTCTTAGCTATTACAGTCATTAAGCTTATTTTGCTCGTACGGTTCATCGCTGTGTTTCTTCGGTGCGTTTCGCGTATTTCAAGTATAACCAATCGCTAGACACTTTCAAAGCAATTTCTATTCAAATAAAATGTAAGGGAATTTGGAGACATTGTTTAATGTTTGCAGCTATTAGAATGCCCAAGTACTCATAATAACGTATAGGAAAACATTGATTCACAATTTATCGAGGTACAAATATACACAGTTGATTTTTCCTTGGCATTCTCCCATTGGGTGGCATACGAATGGTTCGAATCATCACGTATCAAAACAAATAATACCTCAAGTTTTATTACTTCACGCATATCGTTTCGCTGTATTACTTGCCCAGAATATTTCTTAGTCCTTTCATTATATAAGCTTGAAGATAATACAAAGCAATAAAATATAATAATTCGAGCAGCGTTCTGTATACAAAGACAGCGAGCCGTGGCGCTGGCACTAAAATTAATGCACGTGGCGTTGTTTTACGATCTCATTGGGTGAGCCTAAGCTGTTACTCAGTCGTGGTTGAGCAGGAACATAAAACAGTTAATGACAAGCCTCAGTTGGAATGTCAATCCGCTGATGAAAAGACTCGGCGGTTCACCGCTGAGTCTCCACAGGCTATAAAATGAAACACGGCACACGGGCCTGATATGCAAGGCCTGAACAAAGGTTTAACGATTGTTGAATGAATGTTCACGAGCCGAAGAGCGGAGAAAGCCAGAGGGCAATTTTCTGAGTTGGTGGCTGCTGCAGGGACCGACACTGCACGGAAAATCGTTCATGATAGAGCGAGTAAAGGGAAATAAAAAAGCAGTAAAAGGCCCCGGGCAAAAGTGTTCCGTCGTTATGTCCGTTTTCCTCACGCGAAGCTCAGAACCGACGATTAGCTGTGGTTAACCTGCAACTCACACCCTCTTAAAAGCTGTGACTTGATGTTATCCTTGTGGAACGATATTTTGGAAAGACGATCGTCTGGAATACGATTCTGAGAGTACAATATTTAGAGGACACGATTGAATAGGATTCTGGGAGCGCCATAATTTGCGGACAGGATTGCCTGGAATAGGATGCTTTGTGGACACGATCGTCAGCGATATGATGCCTCGAGGGCATAATACTTCGAGGGACGCGTTGGCTAGGGATATGATACCTGGAGTGTGATACATTAATGGTACGATGGTTGGGGCCTCATAAAAACACGTTTGATAGGGAAAAGATTCTTTTTGTTTGAGATCATTGAAGAGTCTATAATTTTGGAATGCGATATTCTATATTTCGCATGGCGATGCGACCCATGAAGAAGGGACCAAATGTGGATATATGGTCATATTTCCAACGAATGCCTGAGTATGTGATATCATTTTATATAATTTCTTTTAGGGGATTGTATCGTTTTGAGGAACAATAATTTGGCGAAGCAATGATGTTGATGGGAAACAAAGCAATGAAACGATAAGGTGTGAAAATAATCAGGTGAGTTTGAATTCGAGATACGATTAGCTGGAAATGCAATCCTTGGGGTACGATACGATCAATTTGTTAAACGATGGGACGTTAGAGCTGTCGCAAATTCCAACGCCCGCTTTTCCAAAAATTACGTTTTCAATCGTTTTTTTGTAACCAAAAATTATGAAAAATGCCAAAATACGTACCTTTAATTAGGAAGAAGCTGCATCTTCAAGTGATCAAAGTATCGTTGGCTATTTTTATGCTGACAAAATTACTAAAAAACGATAGTTTCAATTCAATAGTTTCGTTTAATAGTTAGAATATTTACAAATAGAATATTAGAATATTAGAAATATTCTAATATTATTAGTTAGAATATTTTTGTAATTAGAATAGTTAGATAGTTTCAATTCAACCGCATTCCTACGCATTATTCCACTAAAGACACAGACAACAGGCTAAATAGCAGCACCTCCAGAACTACCGGCGTTAGACCACATCAGACCGAAACAGAACCTCAGGCTTTATTCCGCATCAGACCTAAAACCTAACCTACAGAAACTACAGCAATAGGCCAAATCAGACCGAAGCAGAACCATTTCCCCTATCTACTTTAGACCATTAACATGGTCTCCAAAAACTACTGCGGTAGACCACATTAGACAGAAAAAACATACTGTGCTAGTTCGCATCAGACCTTCAACATGAACTCCAGAAATTAGTGCAGAAGACCGTATCAGACCGAAACGGAACCTCCTATTCTAGACCTTAACTAAACATAACCTCTTAAAATCATTGCGGCAGACCGCATCAGACCGAAACAGAACCTCCTCTGCTAGACCTTAATTAAACATAACCTCTGAAAATTATTGCGGTAGACCGCATCAAACCGAATCAGAACCTCCTATGTTAGACCCTAATTAAACTTAACCTATAAAAACCATTGCAGTAGATCGCATCAGACCGAAACAGAACCTCCTATGTTAGACCTTAATTAAACTTAACCTATAAAAACCATTGCGGTAGATCGCATCAGACCGAAACAGAACCTCCTATGTTAGTCTGCATTAGACTCAAAAATAATCCTCATGCAGAAACTGTATGCGGCAAACTTCGTTAGACAGAATCTGAACCATACAGCCAATACCGAAAGAAAACGGATGTTTCTGGTGAACCATTCCCAGCCGCTTAATTTGTCTATTTCTATAGGGATTAAGATTTTCTTAATAGACTTTTTTGGAGTACTGCAGTCCTGAGTCCCTTATTAATTCAAGCAGGTTTTAAATTTATTACTCTTTTCTAAATATGTCACCATGGTTTCGCTTCATGTACATAGGGTTATTTCTACACCGATTGAAACTAATGCCTCCTCTGGGTAAATCGTTAAACTCAATTAGCATTCATACATAATCTAAACCTCAGTTGTGTGCACGGCAGAAGATAGACAATTATTGAAGCCGTTTGAAACACGCGTGAGTTTTAAATTCCTTCAAAAACTGCTGGCGAGTGGCCCTCAAATCTAAGAATTTCTATATAAATTTGAGCATTTAATTGTATATATATACATGAATACCTAAGCAACATGATAGTAAAATTTTATGCAGCTTTTAGTTCATTCGGCAGTTTAATCGATTAGTACTTTTAAACGTAGTTTCTTTTTACTGAGAAGACATAAACCTTCAATTTTTTCTCGCGATTTCAGGAGGGACCAAAATTCATCACAAAACATTTAGGCGATACTTATTGAGATTTTTCAACTTTAATTGAAAAATTTTACTAGTAAATTTCATAATAAAAACATGACGGCAACTTCAAAGTAAAATATATACTAATATTTAAATGCAATAGATGAAGGCATTTGCATAAATTTACAAGGTAATTTGAACTAAAATGCGTTTTGAAATTAAAATGTAATGGTGGAGCATTTACTTCTAAACATACACAGGAAATGTACATGAAACAGTTGAGAAAATGTCACGTGCTGATGGATGATTTTACTTACGCAACGATCACGGGAAGATGATTTTGCGGGCGCAACAGTGACGGAAGAATAATGTCAGTGGTTCAAAGATGACAGAATTATTCTTTCACCGGTGCAAAGTAGTCAGAATGATTATTTCACTGGTGCATGGCGACTGAAGGATAATGTCACTGATGCAAAGATGACGGAAGGATATTCTCACTGGTGCTATGATGACGGAAAGATATTTTCACAGGTGCAAAGATGACGGAATGATAGCTTCACAGGTGCAGAGATGACGGAATGATAGCTTCACTGGTGCAAAGATGACGGAAGGATAGCTTCACTGGTGCAAAGATGACGGAAGGATAGCTTAACTGGTGCAAAGATGACGGAAGGATAGCTTCACTGGTGCAAAGATGACGGAAGGATAGCTTCACTGGTGCAAAGATGACGGAAGGATAGCTTCACTGGTGCAAAGAT